CGTAAAAAAAGAATAGCTTGTTGTTCTCAGCGATGGCATTGGATCGAAAAGCTTTGAAACGTCTTACTGTAGCCACCGGAATCAATCTAACCACTAATGTTTTATAAAAAGAAAATCTGAACAAATATTTGATTTCATTCTTAAAAACCTAAGAAAGATTGAAAAAGATTACAGTTCGGCCAGAGAAATCCACTCTCTTCCCAGAAAGGTGTCCTCGAAAACGTCCTTGCTTCCCTTTCAGTCGCTGAGCAAATCCTTGCATATTTTTTTTTGGCTGCAATTCCATTGGAAGACCACTGATTTCGCTGTTCATATATAAAGCAATTTGCACCTTAAAAAGTTAACCAGCCATTAGAATAAGATCAAATAAAACATTTGCTGAAAAGAAAAGCCGAACCTCGAAAATAACAAGCAAAAAAGAATAAGAAATAGAACATGAAAAGCATAAAAAATTTTTTGTGAAAACCCTTTCATAATATTTTAGAGGCAAATCATTAATGAACCCTTATTACTCAACACTTAAGTGGCTCCAACGAAAAATTATCTTAACCCCTCAATAGTTAAAAAAAAAACTAGAATTAAAAAGCGCAGTGAAAGTAAGAATTTGTGATAATCTACCACTATTTACCTGCAGCTGATCCCAAGATTCATTAATCGTCTTTGTTGGCATACCATTTTCTACATATCTGCTAAGAATTTTGTTCGCTAGCATGATTTCTGACAACATCACAGTGATATCATCCTCGGTTGACCCACTTTTAACCTTAATAATAATAATTTTTTGCATAATTAATTTTGCGAAAAAAATTTTTAAGTATAATAATAAAAATAAATAATAAAAAAAAGACAAACTTCAGAAATAACGGATGGTCGAATACAACTTGGTGGAACAGGTAACCGAGTTAGCAAAAGGTCCAAAGGATGTTTCATTTCTGAGTCATGCGCCATTAACAATGATATATCCTTAATTTTTCCAATTACAAAAATTCTCTAGCAAAATTAATTATGCAAAAAATTTGCGAATTGTTTTTCTAGCAAAAGTATTAATGATTAAAGATAAAGAAATAGAAAAGAATAAATTAATAAAACAAAATTGATCAAATTAATCTGAAAATTAATTTTTACTTTTCCCTTTGAAATAAATCTTTTATAAAAAAAAATGAGCAATTCTACCGTTTTCCTTAATTTCCTAAAATAGTTCGTTTATACCACTTTTATACAGCATTTTCAAAATGAAAAACAAAATTACTTCCATCCTTATCTTACTGAAAATATCCTCCACATGGACTGCATCTAGCACATCAAACTTAATTCTTGGTAGCAAAGAGTGCAACTCCTTATTCTCCTCAACTGCAGCGAAGAATTCAGGTAAACGGTTTTCTGTTATTGTATCACTGTGAGCAATTTTAAGCACTGCTCCAGTTGCTTTTTTAACCACACCTGTAATAAATAAAACTAATTATGAATATTTGCTGTTAAAATTACTGAATTCAGATAACATAGAAAAATAAAAACGAAATCCATTTCAGAATTTATATTTACCGTTTTTGCTGCCACAGTGAGGACATGTTGTGTTCTTTTTACAGCTCGCAACGATTCGTTTATGCAATGCCTTCCTTTTTAAATAATCCAAAGACGTTTTACGCAATTCGTTCAGAAATTTCTCCCTTATTTCATCCGAAACAAGCAATCCTGAGCAACTCTGGAAAACTTTTTCTTAAAAATGTCAGAAAAAAGTCAGAAAAAGAACTTTGTGATAAAATCGAAATTCTAAGTGGAAAATCTATATTTAAGGATCTAAAGAAAATAAAAAATCGAAATAGAAAATAAAATAAAACATGACATATTACTTGCAATGAAAGCTTATATAAATGAATGATCGGAATATTCGTGTCACATGTACAATTCCCTGCAGGAAATGAATCCTGCAGCTACATTAATTTCGACAAATTTCGAAAAAATTCGACAAATAACAAAGAAGAAAATAAAATTCGAAACGAACTTTACAAATGCATTGCAGCACATGCATCACACTGTTGAAAAATCCAACATGGAATACAGGCAAAGCTAAATCCATGTAACCAAAATGCCCAACACAATCTACCAAATTCGATTTACAAGTGGCGCAGTCAATATTTTTTTGACATGTTCCCTGAAAAAAAAAATTAAGGTTCGAGGTTCTATGATGTCATTATGGGATTGATTTTTGTCCTTTGACTGGGCAGATGAGGACTAAATTAAATTGAAACCTTATGATAATGACTTATCTTTACCTCCATCACTAAGCAAACGATCTTGCGATAACAATCCGTACTCCTAACTAAATTAAAAAAATGCCTGGCATTAGAAAAAACTTCATAACCATAAATTTGACATAAAGTTTCAGTAACTATAAAATATTATATAAAAAAATCTACGAGGATCTTCGAGTTGAGAAAAACTTAATGGATAAACAAACTAACAAGTCTTGTGTCTAGAGGACCATACGGCATCGGCGTAAATTTACCCGGAACACCATCGTAAAATTTACTATTGATGATAGGGATATGTGCAGCCTGCTTCACCATATCTGCACTACCAGCCGTAAACTGTATACTTTCCCTGAAAAATACACTATGTTTTATGGATTTACTGCACTAAATGAAGAGGGGTCGCCTGGGTCATCGCATTATGTATGGAAGGAGTCAAGATGAAAGTAAAATAACAGCCAAGAATAAAAAAGAGACATAAGAAAAAAAACCAGAGGTAGGAAAGTTAGTGCTGGAAAACTAACAATACAATGCACACATTCCATGCATAGGCGGTTTACGCCAATACTGAATGGTGCGAATGAAAAAAAGTTATAGGCACCAATAAATGTCTTTCAAATAAAAAGAAATTCAAATTCCAGCGATTTCTTTTGCGCGACTATTAAAGAAGCGAAACTAACACTTTACGCGACAAATCCGCCTCACGAAATTGTTCTTTCCCCATCGTTTTAAAGAGTTCCTCCAAAGAATTTTTGGAAAATCGATCAATGAAACCTGGAAAATGTGGAAAATATATTAAATTACTATAATATACTTTTGTACGAACTGTAAATCCACTCTTTCCTAATTGGATAATATTGTAAAGTGCCTCTCACCCATCTTTAACTTCTTAATAAAAGTAAAGTAATATTTGCAAAAAAGTCTACTGCTTTCGCTAAAATGAAATATTCCAAATAAGAGGGCGGTACACTCCACTGTGTTAGATATTTACAACATCATGGTTAGTCCTATGCTAGTAAAAAGATGCTATTAAAAAAATATGGGTGTGATTGCATCCCTATCTTTTCTCTCCTTAAGTGACCTGGGAAAAGTACCACACCAGTGATCGAAAATACTAATCTTAATTGATCCTCAAAATCACCCATTACTATCTTATTCGCATTTTTTTCCTTTTTCATTTTTTTCGTTACGCAATTCTAAAATGTGAATAAAAATAATTCTCGCACTACTTATTCTAGCATTCTCTTCAAATTACCTTGCACCTTTGCCTAACAACTGAATATGCCATGAGGCCTTCTATACTTCCTTGATCAACTTCCGTAGGCTTTTTTAACCTCATTGTAACTCTCCTTCCTCGACAACTCCTCAAATCCTACACTATTCCTCTAATAGTTCTCTTAAGCTCCCTATATTCCTTCCTCAATACCGTTCGCCTGAAATAAAAATTACTACCAAAAAATTTAGTCATTAAAAAATGGCTATGAATTCCTCGTTTTTGAATTCGCTTTAATTCTAATGATATTCTAAAGGATTTTCCGTGATATAACGACATTTGACTGACTACTGCCAGATAAGCACCTCGAGGTGAAGTCGAAGCGTACTCCCACCTATTAGCCGAGCCCACGCTGCTTGACCTCCACCACACCAACACCTCAGTCACCACTGCCTTTCCTCATTACTTGCTCGAAAACAAACGGGAACCTTATTTCACCAAACAATCAACAAAATTGCATTTAGACAACTCGATACTTCCGACGAAAAATTTCGAGATGCGAACACGAGAAATATGAAATGAAAATGCTAAAATGCAGTATCAGCTTCTGGCATAGTTAGGTGATTCGACTAGATATGCACTTTTAACGAATAAAGGAGGGGTTGTTTTTTTTATTTCAATATATTTTCAGTATTTTTGTTATTTTCCCAAATTTTGAAAGATTAATTAGTGTTTTTTAGTAATTAATTAGTGAAATTTTTGGAGAGAATTTTGAAAATTCCTAATTTCAATAATATTCCATAAAAAATAAATAATATACATAAATAAATAAAAAATATTATATTTTGTTATAATATTACAAAAATATTATATTATAGTATATTAAAATATAAAAAATAAAAATATTATGTATGCTGCACCTATAATCCCCCAAATTATGCCTATCGCAAATGTCGGTTGCATTGCGATACTTTATTAATAGTAATAAATTGAGGGATTTTTGAGAGAAAAGGAAAAAAACCTTGATGTGTAGATCAACGCGTCAAGATCGTCATATGATTTAATAACTAATGATAATGGGACAATGCATAACAACGACTGCACGACAGCAAATGCAAAAGTAGCTTGAAAATGGCTGAAAATAAAATACTTATGAAAGATTTCATCTTATCAGCCGAAGGATTGAACCAAAACGGAAATGGTGAAGTGGCGGTTATTCGAGGAGAAAATGGCTCAGAAATCAGAAAGACTAATTTTATAGGGTATTTGTTACAGAGAATACTTTATCAATGGAATTTTTAGAAAAAATTACTGAGCGCAATTTTCAATAAAACTATAGCATTACCGAACCTACCGAAGTGTAATGGTCAGCCAGAAATTTTCTGCATGGAAAAGGAAAAATTAAATTCGTCCCTCATCAATCAAATATAAAAAACCTGAAGAATGGTGCACCAAATAATACTGCGACAATGCAAACATGCAATACCAGCCAGGAAGCTAAGAAGAACGCGTTTCACAACCATCCATCCAACGATCAATGGCCAAATCTGGCTAAATTTGTGATGGCTAAATTTCATGAACACTTTTATTTTCAATGTCACATTTTATTTTATGCCATTTTTAAAGAAGATTAAACAACCTCTGCCAATTTCGATATATACCTTCTCACTTTAAAGATACGAATCATTTTATTTCTCGTATCCTGCACCTGGTACCCAGACACAGAAGGTACCCTATTGTTTAAATAACTACACCACCTATAATTTAAATTTTAAAAAAGAGCAAATTTACACCATATGATCTGAAAAAAATTAACGCAAATTTTTTCTTGGCCATGGCTCGAAGTAGAATTCAATCAACCATAGACAACATCAAATTCAACATCGTAAAGTGCTCAGTTCTGCACATTTTGAAAAGGACATGATAGATGACCATGGAACATTGTGAAAATCAAAATGAGAATGTTCAATACAAATTTAATTTTTACCAATCACGACCGTCCGAAAATTGCACAACTATTCTTCCGTTCCATCAACAAACCATGGAAAGTACAGCAAATTAGATATACATTACGAAGAAACGAGCATAATTCAAATATGACCTTATTTTTATTCATAAAATTTTTCAAAAATAACAAGTATAAATAAACATCAAAAATAATAAAACCAAATAATAATTTAATAAATATTCAGTTTTCTAATCGCGTCTAATTTTATGAAAATATTGCAAACATTTGGAAGAAAAAATTTGAAAACATATTTTTGAAAATGATATTGCAACATTGCGATATTCCAATAAATATGGAAAAAATAAAGAAGAAAATCCATTAATCACAAATTCAATTTAAAATCATACATTTCAAAAATTGTTTTTTGTCGTGAAGTATTTACGGGGGAAGACTTGTGAAGTATTTTAAAAAGACCAGTGCCAACATTTATAGGAGTTCCCAAAATAATTGATTCACTTACACCCGATATTTTATCTTCTTGAGAAAAGAAAGCAGCTTCGAATAAATGATCCATCGTTTTTTCGAAAGACGCAAGAAGAAGCACTGATTCTTTCATTTTCACGAGCCCATTACGAGTAATACCCAAGACTTCACCCCTAAAACAAAAAACATTACTCAATTGAATTAATTTCCTTTATATACCAGCATTGCCAATGAATAATAGAACGATAAATAGCAAAACTCACCGAAAAGTCATATAGTCAGCAAGCAACGTTACATGTCGCCGATCCAAGGTTATACCATGATTTTGCATTGTCGATAAAATTTCTTGGATAATTGAGGTTCTAGCAGCTTCAATTCCAAGGACCTAAAGTACTTAGAGAAGAAATTTTACCTAGGAAACATGCGAATCACATGCATCTGATAAAATTATAAAAGAACATAAAATTTGCAACTGCGAATCGATAT